CATAAAATGAAGTGAGTATAAGTAAAGTTCAGTTGAGCAGAATTGATGAATTATATGTAATTCAAACTGCAAGCAAAACTTTATTTCTTTTATCTTCCCTTTTTGTTCCTCTATTTTTTATTTTCATTTCTGTGTTTTCAATATTCCACTGATATTTTAAAATGTCAGATGTGTCAATAGGTACTGTAAAAAAAAAAGTTGCACAGGTCGTTACATCGTTTCAATTGTTGAAACAACGATGAACGAAGGAATGGAAGAAGCGGATGAAAACGACATCACAAAGTCAATGGTACGCTATTTTACCTGTACCCTAAAATGTAAAAATTTTTCACTGTTCAAAAAAGTTTTTCGCATTCTCGGAAGTTGGCAAAAACTATAACTGTTTTGCACTATTACTGTTGTAGGTGCAATCATATCAAAGTAATTAACTATTAATAGTAATTCGCATAAACTTAAACAGATATAAATAAAAAAAAACATGAACACACAAATACAGATATACCACACAAACACCAACAAAACAGTACAAAATCAAACTAATAAATTTTTATATAAAATTTTTCTATTCATTATAATCAAAATATTAATAAAGACTGAGAAGAGATAAAAAAAAAGAATATACAAACAGGAAAGAATGAAAAACCTGCAATTTCAGATAGATTTATAACAAAAATTATCACACAATTTGACTAATACACATATTTCCGTGTAGGTGGTCTTATACAAATATTGCTGATACGTTGTCATTTAAATCCTACATTTATAATTATTCTTTTATGATAATAACTCTTAAAACAACTTTTAAATAAATACTCCAATTTCCTGGTATTATCTCGCTGATCAGTGTAACAACTGAATTCCTTTAAACAGCAACAAAAACGAACTTTAATTACAATCATAAAAATGTTAAATGCGATTACGTTGTTACTGCTAAGCAAAACATTTTTGTATTTTATTATCAGATACATTAATTGTCATTATTTTATTCTTTTACTTTTTTTTCGTGCTTTCACTGTCGAAAGAAGGCAAAACCAAAATGAGAATTGAAAGCTGAAACTCTTCACGGTGACACCGGAAAAAAAACAGTTGCTGTAACAACGCAGTTCTCAGCATTTCCTTCCCGTATAATCTCCCTTTTTTTTCACTTTGTTTAGAATATTTCAAAATTTTTGAGCAAAACCCGAATATTGTTTGGCATTAAAAATAAGTTTTTTTTTCTGTACTTCAAGAATAAATGACGTAAATCAAAAACCAATATATAAACAGGTAACACGATAACGAAGAAAAAAAACAAAGAGAAAAGATTGCAAAAAACTCTGTTTAATTAGCCTGAATTCTAATCAAGAAACAGTCTCGTTAATCAGCCATCAAAAGTAAAATAAGATATAAACAGAAGAACCATTAGATATAAAGCTCATTAAAAAGTAGAAAGAATAAATGTAAACTGAACAAAAAAGTTTCAGATGATAACTGTAGTAACAGTATTTTACTAAAGGCTGAAAAAACAGTTCTTTCTTTTACAGTTAATTGACTTTTCTTCTGCCTAAGTATAACTATTTTCAAATTTCCCTATTTTTTTCCTTTTAAGAAAAGCTAATTAATTTTTGGAAAAACAAAAGACACTGAAATTGTAATGGTCTGATATGTAGCAACAAAAGCATTATCACTGTTTTCGTTTGTCGGCAACATACCACGACAACATTCCTTACTGACCATGTTTAAAAGCTTTTTTTTTTCTTTCTATAGATAACTAACATATTTGTAACTGCATCCAATTCCTTCTCAACTTTCTTCCCCCTCTAAAATAACTGCTACTACTACAAAGAAAGATAAAAGACCAGCAATAACAAAAAATTAAACGAAGGGAGCCAAAAGCAACTTCACAAAAACACTGTAAATTATCAGGTAAGTTTTTTTTCTTTGCAAACATTCATTACATATCCAATTCAATTTATCGTTTATATGTACAAATTGTCATTAAATGGAGATTTTGCTAGATTTCAATCATGTCTTGCCACTCTATGATTGAGCCAAGGTAAAGCTATTTTAGACGGGCGAAAAAAAGCCAAAAAAAAGAAAAAACACTAGTAAGAAAGTGAAACATAATGAAGACGTTGTACGGGATTACTCATAGAAACCTGTTTTCAGCTGCATACGATTGATCGTTAAAATCCTTAAAACAAAGTAGTTTTCATTTGCTGATCTTTTTCTTAATTTCACCAAAATCGACAAAAAACGAAAATAAAAAATACGCATAAAAATATTTTTTTCATGCCTTATTTCTCTCCTCGTTCACCAGTTACTTTTAGCACCGCAAACATTACAGTGATAAAACTTCGCAAACATATGACCAGAAATTTTCCAACAGCTTAGTTTACCAAAAAATTCGCTTTCTAATTTATGTTTCTAAAAAAGCTTCTTAACCGAAAAGAAATGGCAAATATGACTCCGACTAAGCAGCCTATAACAACATTTTACCTTGTATCATAGGAATAGTTAGCCGAATGTGTTAATGGAAGTACTGGTGATGGACATAATGACCAAACTTTGCTGGAATTTTCTTTTGCCATAGCACAGGCCACATATGGTGTCTTTTGCAAAATAAACAGAAGTTCCTGTTGGTTCCTTGTTGCACCACCACAAAGTCTTCTCGTCAGTGTATCCAACGATGCGCCGTGAGCAACCAGTAATATTGTACCTTAATAGAAAACTGGAAATAATGAACAGCAAAAATAACTAGTAGTTTCAACGACATCAACAGAAGTGTTATATTTGCTAGCTGAAAATTAAGCAACAAACTTACCACTATATTTTCTGGTAATTTCCCGAACAAGTTTATAGGAACGTTCATAGAAATCTTCAACAGTTTCTTTTGTGGAAAGATCTTCTGGCCGTACATATGGTTTATACGTCGGATCAACGTTGTAACCAATTTCCTCATATTCACTTGCGCTCATCCAACATGGCAATCCAGATTGGCACCACTTAGTCCATTCAAAAAGACCCGGTTCAATGTTAATTTTCACATTCCGTAAATTCATTCCTTAAACCGCTTAGATGTAACGTTTCGAAACATGCTCAGAGATAAGAAATGAACTTAAAATTACATTTAGAACCAACATTGCAATACTAGAAGAAATAAAACGAATTTTTTGTACAAGTTGCTACGCTGTGGCTGAATATTTAATAACATTTTCAATTATTAGTCAGTAATAAAGCAAATAAAAGCAAAACTTCAGAAATTCCGAAAAAAAGTGTGAAAAAAAACAATCAGAATTTGTCTAAAGTTTAAACAGCTTCAAGAACGAAAAAAATTTATTTACTAAGTTGCAAAAAAAAGGACTAAAACGGAAAAAGACCGGATTTACTGACAAAACAAACTGGACAGATAAAAGAATGTGTTCAAGGAACTGCAGACAGGTTGAAAAGAGTCTCGTTCTATGAAAGTTGATAGCTGGTATTGAATATAGTCTATACAAAGTAGTAAAAAAAAACTTATTTTTAAAAATTAACTTTAGTTAATTACTTAAAATTATTACGCGTTCAGAAGACTGAGTAAATTATCGGCCCACATGGATTATATCTTTGTACCTAGGAAGAATCCTATACTGTAACACCTAAACAGCATCAACGAAAAAAGCTTAAAAACTTGAGAAGAAGTAAGAAAATGTGTTCAGTAAATTTGTTGTGAATACGTTGTTTTAAAAATACTTCATGATTCAAATAGTGTCTGCTGATAAAATATCGGATCCTAATCTATATTGCTGTGCTCAACCAGCCAGCTGTTCCATATTTTACTTCACCAAATTTACTCTACTTCACTGTACTGTCGTTCAATGCTATTATTTTCCTTGATTTTCTATCCCATCTTTTCTCTGCTTAATCCACAGAATACCAAACTTTAGCGCTCGGAACTACACTTTCAAAAGAAATTCCACATGTATCTTCATAGAATAGGTGCTCTAAGTATAAGTTACGAAAAAAAATTCATTGCAGGATGAATCTACTCAATTAATAAATGATCGACTTTTAAACCAATTTTTCTACAAATCAAAGAGTAACAAGTGTTGTCGCTGTTACTGATCTATCTATATAAAAATTGTTTATTCAGTTTGCTTAAACTTTTGTAAGAGTAATATTACTGAAAATTTTCTGAAATTTATATACGTAATGTTTCTCGTTTTTTTCCGCCATCTTTCTTTATATCATACTCCAATCTCAACCGAGACTCTGCAGAATTAGCACATAGTTTTTTGTGAAGATAATAACAGCATTAACGCTTAGTAATTTAGAAAACACGTTCTGTAAACTCAGTGTTCAGTAATTTTTTTTAGCTGACTTACTGTGAACAGTTTACTTTTACTGCAAAAAAAAAGCATCCATCTGTTATTTTCGATAAAGTTTTGAAGTTAAACTAAGCACTAGCATCAGCTGAGGCTTAGTAATTTTGCAAACTTAAATATTTATTTGCCCAAAGTTTCTACTCTTAAATAAAGAGGAAAGTAGTAATGCACTGCTTAGAAAATATTTTTTATTTTTACCACCAACACTAAGCTTAAGAACCACAGGCTGCCCGGCCGGAAAAACAGTGAGTTTAACAATCAGAGGAAATTTTTTTATTCATCCGCTGTTCCAGTAAATTTCCATTGAAGTTATTCATTTGGAAATATTTGGCAAAGAACCTTTCCTTTATCCTTTTGCAATTAGGAAGTGTAGAGAAAAAAATAAATGGACTGACCGAAAGGAAGAGGAAAAGGCAAGTGGCAATGAAGATGAAGGGCATTGTTGGAACTTGAAAAGATAAAACAACAATTCCATCAACTAATACGATCAATAAAAAAAATCTTTACATTGAAACATCAGTCATCCTAATAGAGATATCCATTTTAAAAACAGATTTCTCTGTCATTTTTAGATCAATCTTAAATTTGCGTTTGCGTTTACACTTCAAAAAAAAAAAAAATTCTCTATTTTACTACACATAAAACTCCAGACTTTATGACAAAATTAAATGGATTAACTCAGAAATTTAAAAATAAAGCAAAGTTTTTTCCGCTTTATTATGCCGTCCTAAACTTACAGAGTTCAAATAATAAATTAGAATTCATGCTGTTGTTCATGTCACTGCTATTACCATGACTGTCAAATAAAAGATTTGAATAAGAAGCTAGATAGCTTTTTTAATTTTATAGCATTTTCTTTTACATTTTGAAGGTATTTTTGGCTTTTCTAAAACGTTAAAATGCTATTTTTGGTTACCGATTTTAGCTGTTTGACAACCGATAATCTTCATGTAAACTTGTAAAGTGAAACTTGTTTGAGACAAAGAAAAAACTAAACCTCGCAGCAGTCCAACTGCAGTTTGTACACATCTTAACGCTGGAGAGCAAAAAATGTGTTGAATTTTAATACCCTTCTCATGAATTCCTCGTCCTGAAAAAAAAAA